ATAAGACTCATCCATTTAACCGTCTCCGTTCTACGTTCTAACCTAAAGTACATAAAACCCACTAGTTCATTTCCTCAAATTCCCTCTTTCTTCAAACTCATATCGAGGGGCATGCACTCTGATCAGTAGGGTAGGTGATCGCCGCCACCACCACCACCACCACCGGAGGCAGAGCTAGAGGCTGTGGCATTGTTGCGCTCGGTGTGACAAAGCTGACGGAGCTTGGTGGGAACATACCAAATGGAGAGTCGGGGATGAGAATTGAAGATGGCATCAATGTCCCAGCCTTGGCCTGCTGCAATGGCCACAAGAGGCTTGTAACATGCCTGTCTCCAGGCCCCCACATTTTCGCCTCTCTCCTTAAAAACTCTCCTCAGTGCATTGGAGGCCTCCTCGTCCAAGCAATGCAGCGCATAGCAATGCACGTAGTGTCGCATCTTGGGCTTGTTGATGTAGCTTGCCCCTGCCTTTTTTGCAAACCTAAACACTTGGTTTGTTACCTGCACAATAATTCATGTTCACACAACCAAAATACAACAATTCACTTGTCATGGTCACAAGATAAATGATTCATTATTTACAAATATCGGATACCTAAGGGTGGCGACTTTCACACTCCGATTTTATCTGTTTGCGCTTTTCTATTGTTTTTCTACTTGAGAAATAAAAGTAGATGATAGATCATCAAAATATAACAAAGAGCGGAGTTAACAAAACGCGAGTGTGAAAATCTCTACCTTTATTAAGCTAACCAATTATCCAATTCTACGTCATATTAACATCATTGTTGGAATCACTATATATTTCTAACAAAGCAGATCAAATATAGACCAAAGTAGGATTAAAATATGATCTTATTCACAATGATCTTTTTCAAAGCAATTATTGTGAACTTAGTCTGCCACATGATCAATGAAAAATTCAGACCCGGGCCAGAGTTAGCTCAAACATTATACTGATGCTGTCAGCAGGCCTTTCCAATTGAAACTGTCGGGCCACTAGATTGTAATTGTTTGTACTTGCGGAAATGGGACCACATTGACCAGGTATGATAGTCCATGCGCCAAGTTACTATTTTAGTATTTACTATTTACCACAGTATAAATCAGCGTATGCATGTAGGTTATGAAGACGGGGGTTGGGTAAACTCCGTACCTTGGTTGGACATTTTTCACCGCGCTCCTTTGCAATGTTTTGGACCTGGATCAAGAAATCACGGCACTGCTCGTAGAGATGGAAGAGGTAATCTAGGCCGTTCTTTTTGCCACGTGCCACCTCCCCAGGCTCAGTCACAATGAACGGGTGCTCCCTCTGCCTCTCGCTCAGCAACCGCCCTCCTGCACCGTTCCCGTGCCCATTCATGTCGTCCATGTCGTTGTCGTCCTCGTTGTCCACACCCTCATTATGATCATTATTATGCCCCCCTCCGATGCCATTGAAATTCCTATATTGCCCCTTCCTCGTCCTTCGCTGCTTCTTCCGCTTCTCCCCCGCCGCCGCCACCACTTCCCACGCGGCCCCTCCGCCGCTCCCCACCATCTCCTTCTCTTGTTGCACCGGCTCCTCCGACAACCCTACAATCCCATGCACGCCATGTCATATACATACATATTAAAAATGTTTTATGACGAAATATGGTAACAATTAAATAGTTTCACATGTAATATTATTAAATAAAAATTAGTTTTTTGTTCGATTCATATAAAAAAAATGTTTTATGATGAAATATTGTAACAAATTGATGAAATAATTTTGCATCTTATGATGAAATATTGCGTGTATAATTTTATGCTAACATGTAAATTTTCATTCTAGGAATTCATGTAATAGTGACTAACGAACCTTCTTGGGAGAGAGCATCTAGGGCATTGGTGGTGGTGGTGTCGCCGGAGACGGTGTGGCGCCGCCTGGAGTCCTCGTCATCGAGGCGGCGACGCTCTGCTCTGACGGCGGCTTTGATACCGTACCTCTCACCCACAAGCAAATCCCACCTGAATATCTGAGAGAGGCTACTCATCATGTCGTCAAGCTCAACGTCCCTCATATCCAAAAGGGTGTTGACAGTAAAGCCGAGCTCGGCTATCTTCGCTGCCGTGTAGTATCTGACCCCATAAGCCTGGAATAAGTCCTCAAGCCCTCCGAGCTCTCTCGGGGGCCTCACGGCAGCGTAAGCCGCAGCGGCAGCTTGAGGCGTCACGGCGGCTTCTAGCTGAGCCCGACTCGGTGGAACAACCATGCCTCGTAGGTCCCACTTGAAGAGGCTCGCTGAGAAGGCGTCCGGATCCATATTTTCCCGCAGTGTGAAAACCACACACAGATGAAGACCACAGCTTCTTCTCTAGCTTTGTTTTTAGTCTTTGGCACTGTGGTTGGTGTGTGTAGTGTTCTGTTCCTATAAAAACAAGACCATTTTAGTTTATTCCGAAACTACCCTCCTACATATGGGATGTTTCCCGAGGAACTAAGCAAACTGGGGTTTGATGGTTTCAAACTCGGTATTTCAGAATGAAACACTCTTTAGGGTTCTTCTAATTGGTCCCACCACCCAATGAACTTTTAAACTTGTTATGTTATGTTATGTTAGCCCTAGAGTTTACGATTTTTCTTTTTTAATAAAAATAATGATTTTAATAATGAAACTCATGCGTGTAGATGTTGCTCCTCAGAGTGCTAAAACTGCTAATAAGAAGTGAAGTTTTCCAAACTTTCTTGCTTCTTTCTTCTCGTCTACTTGTCTGCGTGGTCTCCTAGTTTATGGCACAAAATCAACATTTTGAAGGGCCCAAAATCTATGACGTGATTTTTGTTGGTTACATTGGAGTTTCGAACTGGGTTGCCGTGAGGAGGGGGAAACGACCACCACTATGGTGAGAACCCATTGACTCTATGACGTGATTTTGAGATGCACACACACACTCTTATTTTTGGGTTTATTTATTTATTGTTGGCAGTAGGTAGTAACAAGAAATCTTTGACGGTGAAATTGATGGGGTGCAAAGCTTAGTAAAATTGGCATAATGGAATGTGGGGATTAAGATTGGCGTTTGTGTAATAGATGGTAATTTTCACAATCACCATCATCATCATCATCTCTTCCTCGGACAGCGTGATGAAAACCCATATCTCTGTAGAGATTCTCAAGCTTTAATTACCCGAACAAGCCAAGCATGCAAGAGGGGCAAACACGTCATTCCACTAGATGTTATAATAACGAGTGAAATTTACTGTTCCCCTTGGCGATATAAGAAGCGGCAGGGAAGTACAGAGGCGGGCAGGTGTTCTGAAAAGGCTGCTTTTCTGTACTTTCTCAAAGACAAACGAAACCATATCCATCTTCTTCTTCTTAGGCTAGTGTCACGATCAGGTGCATCTCCACCTACGTGTTCCCGTTTATACAGCAACACGTGGCCCTGACGAATACGATGTTGTTGCGGCTCCCACCCACGTGTCGCGCGGAGGACGGCTGAGGGTCTGGTGCGGTGGTGGTGGTCCACGAGCCGTGCCCAAGGCAGACGGTTCTGATGATGAATGGTGAACGATGAAGTGGTGATGTGATGGGGGAGAGAAAATGGAGATTAAAACACCAGAGGGTTCACAAGTTAGTGACTTTATCTTCTTTTCAGAATTAATAGTAAAATATTAGGGTTAACTGACGGTACTTGGAGGGGGAGGGCTAATGGGGAGGCGACACGCAGTGTACTGGGTTCTGGGCAGTGGATGGATGCTGAGCAAGAAGACCCGACTGGGATGAGTCAGTGGCTCAGGGGCAGTCAGGGCAGTCAGGCTCTCTGGAGGGAGCCCTGGCTTTCACATTGAGTCATTAACAGTAGTCTTCCTTTTACCTTCTTTTATTTTTTGGATTTATTTGTTTGGTTCTTGTTTGTTACGATTTGTTAATTGTTACATGTGATCTTTTAAGGATCCAATGCACTGTTCACTTGGTGATGTGATCTGTTCCACTTTTTTTTTTTCTTAGAAGTTTGCACCAAGAACAAAAAAGTCCACATGTGTGATGCATGCTGTGAATTATATACTGTAGAAAGTGGAAGTTGATTTTTGGTCCATCCAAAGTTGGTCACTTTGAAGAATTATTCTGAATTATTGATTTTCAAATGATAGTAAGTTTAAAGGAGTTTTAATTTGAATGAATGTTTACTTACATTGGAATGAGTATTCCTCACTTTTCCGATTCATAACGTCTCAGAATTCTAAGTAAGTAAACATAAAGAAGTCATGAATCGGGGAATTCGAGAATAATTCAAATATCAAATTCAAAGTTTTAAATTTTAAGAACTTTTCTTTTATCCAAAGATAGAAAAGAAAGAAGATAATGGGTGAAGTAAGCAAATTTGGGTTCCACTGGAACCACCCAAATGGAATCACGATTGTCCCGTGGGATGGACCCAAACTCTGCTGGGCTCAAATAGTTGACTACAATAGAATGATATAGGTCGGGCATGGATCATGGATATCCATCATTCCGCTGAGACATATGAAGGTTCTGAATGCCTCCTCCTATGGCATTAAGTCAAATAATTCAGCTGGAGGTAGAGGCCCCTTTGCGTTTTTTGCTCCTCATGTTTTTCAAAAACGAATATAAGTGGATTTAAAGAAATCATGCTTTACAAGAAGTGGATCGTTTGCCAACAGAGTCTAATCTAGTGGAAAATAATATTGATTTGTAGATTGAGGTTCGATCCCCTTGGCATCTTGGTATGTGTGTGTGAGAAACTCTCTCCTCTTATAGTTTAAACTATCGTTTGTATTTTAAAAAAGAATAAAAAAAGGATCGTTTTGTTTTCGTTTTGCTTGTAGCACCAAAAGGACTTATCATTCATTCATATGGTTGGGTGTTTACTTGCTACTCTCTCAGCTTTTTTTTATAATGATAAATGAGTTCATGGTCTTACAAACACATATGGTACAAGATAGTGAATGACTGCATAATAACTTCAATTCAGCTACAAGTTGTGCACAAATATGAGCTTTTTGCTCACTTCCTAGACGGGAACCAACGGTAGTTGGCCTCCGTATATCTCCGGAAGTTGGCTTTCGTCGATCTCTTCGAGCAGGGTTGATTTCAGCATTTTGTTCTCCACAAATACTATCTGCACACAGAGAAGCAAGATGGTGCATATAACTAACTATTATATAATAGGCTGGTCAAGTTATTAATTTATAATTTTACATCAGTGTGAGTCGTTTTTACCTTCTTCTTAGTTTTGTTGTCAATGAAAGGGTAAACGATTTTCCAAACTGTCATAAATACCAGCGGCGCATGGACGATAAACAGCTTCCCTAGTCGTTCTGGATAGCAATCCTGCAAATATTTAGTAAACAGTTAAAGAAAAGCTTTCTGAAAATTATTTGGTAAACTGTTTGTTTATCTTGTTTGTAACAGGGAAATGAAAATGGTGTAGAGCAGAACAGACACCTGCAAAATCGATAGAGCTCCAAGGTACCCTCGGATGTCACTGTTTGAATATCCCCATCCTTCAAGGTCTCCTATGGCAATAAACTTCTCCTGTTCTGGTGGGATCCTGGTACATCATGTTCAAAATCGTCACATAAAACATATCGTCTACGGTCTACTGCTTCGTCACGTTACAATTCCAGGGGAAAATTAGCTGAAATTAAAGTCGAGGATAAATTGAAGTTCAGGGTGAAAACGGCAGATTACCTTGCACACGTCTTGTCGAGGCCATAAACTACATAACCTGTACAACATTAGAAAATATACTAGTAGTTTTATTAGTGGTTTCAAGCTTTAAATCTCTTAAACGATCCAGTGATTTTGCAGCAAGACTTTTTATTTGCTCATTTAGAATTGACAAAATGTGTGAAGAAAAAAAACGTACGCTTGAATTCCTTAAGGTCGTCTTGAAAGTGTCTATTGCCAAAGACAACCGCTATTGGACGTCCCTTCTTGTCTGATCCCTGTAAAAACATCTTGTCCTGTGCAATTTGGTTTGGCACCTCTGAAGCAGAAATGAAACCGTTGGGAACAAAAGTTCGTCTCCATTTCAAGTACTTGAGGAGCATGGCAGATGCCTGGCTTATGTCGAAATTGCGCGCATGCAGGAACCTTCTGATAGTCGGATCATCCACTTCCTGCACACAAATATTGCAGCTCCGCATTACCAAAACATCAGATTGGTGATTAAGAACTTGGTGCAGGCATAGCTTCTGCTCTGAATTTTTTTTAAGACTAGAAGGGTTGAAGTTCACTTGTGTTGACTATAGATTTAGTAATATTTGTACCAATTATAAATGTTGCACCTTGGAGGAAGGATCTTTCCTTTCAATAAGTGCTCTTACAAGACGATTTCGGGTCAGCTCCTCCTTTGATTCAGCGCTGCTTTCCATTATGTTAAAATCCATGATACTCTTCTCTCTCTCTCTCTCTCTCTCTCTCTCTCTCCCCTCACACATATGAAACAAGCCCTTGACAGAGATAGAGCTAGACTGCAAGTTACTGCTGAGGAATATAATATGTATGTGTTTTGAAATTTGAAGTAGGTGGAACTGTAAGCACCATATGCAATGCATGGCAGATCTCTCTCTCTCTCTCTGAATTTGGGTTGGCAGAGGCTCATGCAAAGTGCCAGTGTTGTAAGAATTGGTCAAAAACACAAATGCTTGTATCAGAAACAACTTTATTTGACAATTCTATATATGTGTGTCATTCCATGGGTCCCTTGGTGGTATCATGTAGATTTAACATGAGAATTTCATGACAATTACATACAGTTATATTTATTTGTTTGCTTGTTTACTTTTTTTTTAAAATACAAGTGAAATTGTAAGCTACTCTAATGACGAAAAAGGAAGATTGAAGTCGATAATTTAACATGGTAATTTTATGACAATGGACAAACACAATACCAATAAAATATAGGGAATTTCACTAATACACCCAAAATAGGGGTTGAAATTATAAAAAAACCCAACATGAAAAACACTTTAGAAACACACCCAAAACCCATTTATTAAACACACTCAAAACCCATTTATAATCACACCCAAAAAATATACAATTGTTGATTTTTGAGTTGATTTTGGGTGTGTTTCTATGTTTTAAACAGTGTTTGGTTTTTTTATAAATTCATGTCTAGGATTGGGTTTATTTATAAATTTGTATAAAATATATATCAATAATGCATCATACACTGTAGATTGATATCAATACCAAACACTATTTTTCCGAGAAAAAAAAAGACAAATGTACACCGAAGAACTAGAACAAAATGCGACACTGCACTTGTTCTTATATATTAATGGAGTAAAAATTTGACCATGTTATTAGTATTTCTTGGAATCCCGTAAGCCTCAAAGATAACAGAAGAAACACTTAAATGATACACCTTCTCCAGCCAAAAACAAATAAAGAAACAAGCTATAATATTAACAAAATTAATTAGATATTAATGAAAAGATTAAGGTTAGGATTCGGAACACTCACCTTGGAAGAAGGATCCTGGGCTTCAACAAATGCTCGCATGAGACGAATTTTTGGCAGCTCCTCCAACTCACTGCTACTTTCTTGAATATCATTATTATCTGCATGTGAAGCTTCTACAAGCAGTACTTCTTCTTTTCTGTCCATGCTTCCTTCCTCCTTGTAATGATCGTTTACATTTGAACTCAACGCCACCATAGTGCTCATCTCTCTCTCTCTCTCTCTCTCTCTCTCTCTCACACACACACACACACACACACACACACAAATGCAGAAAATGCGAGATCTAATAAGATCTTTGACAATATATATCAAGATGACTGGTGCTGATAGAATCGGCAGAAAAACGTGCCAAAGATGACTTGAACAATGACCTTTTGGTGAAGAGAAAAGCAGAGAATTGAAGCCAGAGGCCCCCCCATCAATTAATTTTTTCCCTGTTATTAGTTGAGCCTACATTTAATATCCCCTTCCAAAGTCTATAGCTACTTGCATTTTGTATGCATACAATATTATACATACATATTAAATCACCAGCAATATTAATTTTCTTTTGAAGAAACACTATCCGAATCCGCATAAATAAAATTCGAACTCAAGTACAAGAGAACTGACACCAAATTCAATATATATATATATATATATTTATTTATCAAGTTATTGAATCACCACCATAGACCATGGTTATTAATTGCTTGAACCTAACACTTTGTTTGAAGGCCAAGAAAAGCTTACCTAATTCTCCTTTTTGAAGGCCAAGAAAAGCTTACCCACATAGAAACCCTTCTATGAAATTTTTAGAAGATAACATATATGTTTAGTTTAGTAATTAGGGTTTACTAATAGAACATGTAGAGATTAAAATTTAATCAACAATTTGAAGACCCAATAATTTCAATGTTTAACAACTAATTGCTGAGTTAATCAATCAGTGCAACAGATTAGGTGATAGATGGATGGAGAGTCAGTGTCGATTTGTGCATGGGGCCATCATGACCTTCATGCACATGTCCAATTTATTAGTATCACTATTCCAACAGTTTGCATTTATTTAGAAGGGCATGGTCACAATAATTTGTGTTTATTTTTGCACTGGAATTAATCTCATATGAAATGGGAAATACGTGTCGTGTTTCTTTAATTAATTCGTGAAAATGACTAAATACCTTGTGAGAAATGGAAGCCATTGCCATCCATACATTTGTGATTTGTCACTGCCAGCTTATTAACCTAACAAATAGGGGAGACCAATGAGTGTTATAGATACAGCTGTCTTATTACCCCGTTACAAATAAGTTTCCCTGTTAATGACATTGACAAACCGGAATGTTGTAGGCCATGTTTGTTTGTACTACACAAAAAAAAAAAAAAAAAAAAAAATTCTTTTTTAAAACATGAGTCTTCAAATAGTGATTTTAAGATCTAAAAACTTGTTTGTATTAAACTCCAAACTATTTTTAAGATTTTAAAAATTGAAATTGAAATTAAAATAAGAAATTCAGAAACCCTAGATTCCCAAATTGAAATTAAAGAGAGAGAGAGAGAAATAAAAAAAAAAACTATACAACTTCACTTTTTTAGTTTTTAATAATGGGGTTGTTTTTGAGTTTTTAAAAATGGGCATACCAAACGAGTTTTTGTGGCTTTGGGCTTAAAATCCGTATTTGAGTTCATAAAATTTGATCTAATTTAAGTAGGATACCAAACATGCCATTAATTTCAATTTGATATTTTAAAAAAAAATCAATATAAAAAACAGATATTCAGATAATAATCATAAGTATTATTGATTTCAATTTGTACTCAGATTTTTAATTATAATAACACTGAGTCTAGATGCCAAGTTGCCAACTTATTAGCAAATCTAGCAGTATTTATTTTGAACAAAAATATCTAGCAGTGTTTAGCTAATAACTTCCAAGTCAACATTTTTTTTTCTTTTTGGAAAATAAGAATATTTAAATTTTTTTAAAAACGAAAATAAGATGGGCTCTAATTTTTTTCCCCGCGAAAAAAAAGGTGGACTTATTTTATTCAATTTATGGTAAAAATTTAAAACCACTCCAATTTATTATTTTATTAACCAAAGTAGAAATATTTGGTATTCCTAATCAGAAAAGAGCAGGTTGAGGCCTGGTCTTCGGTGTCGGGGACTGAGATGGATTTGCCACCAGACCAGCATGGAGGCTGAATAAAATACAAAAACAACAGCCCAGAGATCCGCGTACCTCTCGGTTTCCTTGTTTCTTCAGACCAAATTTACTTTTTCATTTCCAGCTTTGCTGCTGCTGAAGCCAGAGACTAGACTAAGAAAAAAGCCCAACAAATTTGAAGGAATCTTTCCACCGATTCTGCTTTTGACGTTCCAACTATCATCTTCTTCAGATTGCTGAAGAACCCATCTGTTTCCTTTGGCTCATATATCCTCCACAACCCTTCTTTTTTTGTCGGGTTACTGATTTTTTAGCTGAGGAAGCAAAAGGATTGGGCAGAAAGATGAGAATTTGGAAGTTGGGTTTTGCTGTGCTTCTTTGTGCTGCCTTTCTGTTGGGGATTGGCTCAGGGGAGCAGGCCCGCACTGAGAGAATTTCAGGTACGGAGAAAGACTTCATCTTTGTCGATTTACATGATTTGATTCTTTTGGGGTTCGCCATTTTTTTATTTCAAGTTTCATTTTGCTGTCCTTTACTGCCATATCAGTTCTGATCACTTGAAAGTTTGGGTTTTGATTGATGGGGTGCTTTGGAATGTTTGTAGATTTTGATATTTTAGGGATCTGTTATCTAAAATTAGTGTTTAACTGTTTCTATGCCTTGGCGGTTGCTGATTTAGCTCTTATTGTTCTTACTTTTGATTTGACAATAAACAGGTTAGTCTGGGAATTAATCCCGGTCTCAAAATTTTAGTGTGATGCTTGCTGTTTTTCAAGTTAGGTATGAAGGCTTTGATTTTGATCCTCCAATAGTTGAAGTTATATTTGTAATGCTGGTTTATTTAACTGGTGTTGTAGCTCCCAGAAAGGTAGCAAAGACATAATGCCATTGTGTCCGTGCTTATGAACTTTTTTTTTTTTTTTTTTTTTTAAAAAAAAAACTTTTGCATTTGTTGGAGTTTTCCTTGAGAAGTCTGTATACTGTGTATAGATTCAGAATCTACTGAGAAGTTTAAGCGTATTAACTTAAGTTTGGTTTGTTTGCACACAATGTAGGTAGTGCTGGTGATGTCTTGGACGATGACCCAGTGGGAAGGTTGAAAGTTTTTGTGTATGAGCTTCCAAGCAAATACAACAAGAAGATTCTGCAGAAGGACCCAAGATGCCTGAACCACATGTTTGCAGCTGAGATCTATATGCATCGGTTTCTCCTATCCAGCCCCGTCCGAACCCTTAATCCTGAGGAAGCTGATTGGTTTTATACTCCTGTATACACTACTTGTGACCTGACGCCCAATGGCCTTCCTTTGCCTTTTAAGTCACCGCGGATGATGAGAAGTGCAATACAACTGATATCTTCAAATTGGCCTTATTGGAACCGGACAGAAGGGGCAGATCACTTTTTTGTAGTGCCTCATGATTTTGGAGCATGCTTTCATTATCAGGTTAAAAGCTTGGTTTGCTTCTTCTTGTGCCCCGTCATATCTGACAGACTGAATACATATTTGAATCAATTGGCCTACTCTTGTTAGCTTGTTCCTCATAAGCCTGTAGATCTTCATTCATTCATGATGTACTCAGCTGTCATTATGTGATGTTAATTTATTTTATCTGGCATGCCAATTATCTCTTTTCCCCTATGCATAATGATTGCCTATGTTATTGCAGGAAGAAAAGGCGATTGAAAGAGGAATTCTTCCCTTGCTCCAGCGTGCAACTTTGGTTCAGACTTTTGGGCAACAGAATCATGTTTGCTTGAAAGAGGGCTCAATTACGGTTCCTCCTTATGCTCCTCCACAGAAAATGCAAACCCACCTAATTCCTGAGAAAACTCCTAGATCCATCTTTGTTTACTTCCGTGGATTGTTTTATGATGTGGGAAATGACCCAGAAGGTGGTTATTATGCAAGGTAATGCTTACAAAGCTTATAGCATTTGAGGGTGCCCAAAGCATCCTTCCATTGTTGTTGCCGGTGAAAAAGGATTACATTAAACATATTTGAAAAGAGAAGTCATGCCATTTTATGAAGTTAAAACATGACAGCATTTATTAAACAAGATATAAACCTCTGATAGGCGTTTAAAAATAGTCAAAAGAGGGCAGAAATATATAATGCGACTTTCTAGTATTGCTATCTTTAAAAGACAGAGTTTAGGGTTCCTTGGTTTGCTAGATAACACTATGATGGATTTAACTGAAGATAGGAGATGTCTGAGTCTAACTTTGTTCTATAACTTTGCAGAGGCGCACGAGCAGCAGTGTGGGAGAACTTCAAAGACAATCCTCTTTTTGACATTTCCACTGAGCACCCCACCACATACTATGAGGACATGCAACGAGCAGTCTTTTGTTTGTGTCCACTCGGCTGGGCTCCTTGGAGTCCAAGATTGGTTGAAGCAGTGATTTTCGGCTGCATTCCTGTTATCATAGCAGATGACATTGTTCTACCCTTTGCTGATGCAATCCCTTGGGAAGAAATTGGCGTGTTTGTAGCTGAGGAAGATGTCCCCAACTTGGACACCATACTCACTTCAATCCCACCAGAATTGATATTGAGAAAGCAGCGATTGCTTGCCAATCCTTCAATGAAGCAAGCAATGTTGTTCCCACAACCTGCTGAAGCAGGAGATGCTTTTCATCAAGTTCTGAATGGGCTTGCGCGTAAATTGCCGCATGGCCCCGGTGTTTACTTGAAGCCGGGTGAAAAGATCCTAAACTGGACTGCAGGGCCGGTGGGTGACCTGAAACCTTGGTAGCAGCTATGACTTTTGCCTCCTCGGCAGCCTCTGAATTTTACAGTAGTAGCTTTGTTGTTGTAGTTGAGATACTAATCGTCATCACCGTGTAAAAATTTCGATGTCGTGAAAATTTATCAGATTACAAATTCTTCTTTTGTACTTTGACTTGGGATTGATACAATGTCATTGAAAGCCATGATGGTGATTGTTCCATCGTTTAATATCTGAGGTGACTTATGAACCCAGAACTCTTGTTTCAATTCAATTAACTACTCGAACTGCAGCTAGCAATTAGAAAAGGACCGCCCGTACGATGCTCCAACCAAGAGCAAGATGGGGACTCCGTTATGGGGCTTGGTTCGTTTTAGGGGCAAAATGGTAATTTCAGTCATGTTGGTGGAGCATGAAAATTAGAAAGGGATGTTCACATAAAATTTTTTCAAAAAAAAAAACCCAAAAAAGAAGACTCGGGAGGCTGCTGGTGTTTGTTGGTTTGTGGGGATTATGGAGGCCACGCGACACCCAATGGGAGACTCGCATACTTCCAATTCATCTATTTCTCCCCACCACTCTCTTATCTCTTCATATCTTCCTCTCATTCCTACTACACTGCTACACTCCCACAGTACTATCCTAAGTAGAAGATGGCCCTGCAATTGCAGGCACCCTCAACAAGAAGCCATCTAGCACCGCCATCTCCATTAGCAGCTCCGAAGGGCAATGCCGGCCTACGGCTTCCGTGGGATCGTTTTGCTCTAAAGTCCTCCTTCTTCTCCTCATCACATAGCCTATTGCTGCTTTCTCCTAAGCAACAGCGAAAGTCCCTTGCTTCTTCTGCCGCACCCAAGTTCTCCATGCGTGTTGCCTCCAAGCAAGCCTATATTTGTCGCGATTGCGGGTACCATATATAACTCCTTCCTTGCTTTGTTTGTGTTGTTTTGGTTATATAAAACGTTATTTGAATTGGGTTCTTGTTGTATTGATGCAGGTATATATACAATGACAGAACTCCTTTTGAGAAGTTGCCTGACAAGTACTTCTGCCCTGGTAATTTACTTCGTCTTACATATGGCATCTATTTCACCATCAAATTTACAGCCTTTAAGCCCCTTTATGTACAGATTTGTTTGGTTTGAGGACTTTATCAAGTTAGACACCAACAAACAACCCATGTAACTTTATCATGATGGAAATCTGTGGCTTGCAGTCTGTGGTGCTCCCAAACGGAGGTTTAGGGTATACCAGCCTCCGGTGACCAAAGATGCAAACAGCAAAGATGTCCGAAAGCAACGAAAGGCGGAGTTGCAGAGAGAAGAAGCAATTGGGTAAGTCTTGATATTCCTTTCAGTATGAACTCAAATATTTTTCTTCCTTGTGACGAATTGGACACTTACATGCTCTGCTTAACCTGGAACAGGAAGGCACTGCCTATTGCTATTGTAGTGGGAGTTGTGGCACTTGTTGGATTATACTTCTACATTAACATCGGCTTTCAGGGCTAGATAGTTTCATAGTAGCTGCTAGGCTTTCAGGGATAGTTTCATAGTAGCTGCTACTGTAACATCAAATGGATTGGGCACAATCATTTGTATAATTTCATTTGATACATAGAACCGTATCTTTCTCTTCAATTTGCTTTGATCACACCTACAATTCAATGCATAATAAGGATAAAGATATACCATTGCAGCAAGAATTCACTTCAAATAAAAACAATCTCACTTCCAACGGTTAGGGATGCATTCCTGAGCATGTTGGCAACTTTCCATGTACTACAGCAACCTTTCATACACTCGGCAGAGTGGAAGATACTAAATTTTGCTTGTAACATAAAGTAGGATACTAAAGAAGACAAGACCAGTGAGAAAAATAGGATGACTGACAGGAAAGACAAGTAAATAGATTTGAGATACCAAAAAATTTTGAACATTTACATAGGATGGTAATATGTAACATGATTATTCTTGCAATACAAATGAACCCTCTATTCTTTTCTCCAAAGACTGCTGAATAGGAAAATTTAAAGAAGAAAACATGTCATTGGTACTAGAGGCAGGTGCAGGCTTGAATTCATATGGACCTTCCTTTGGTCCCCAAACCTGTAACAATACAAAGAAGTTCGATTTATTCCTGGGAAAACTACAACATTAAAACATCCAATAAGGTGATTAGAGTGATTGAGTAAGAGTAGAAAAACTGACTTGATTTCCATCGCCATCATATCCCCTATCCCAGGCATGTATCTCATTATTTTTAAGAATTGAAAGTTCCGAAGTACAGTATGCTGCTCCATTCTGTTATAAAGGGGAAAAATGATATCACTTAACAGTAGTAATTTGATTCATTGCAGTTTCAAGTAACCCAACTCTTATCCATGGGCGCAAAACAAGGTCTTCATGTGATCAGCTCACATTAGAGGGGAAATAAAAAAGACAGTAACAAACAATTACCCATAGATTAGGGAAACTGCCAGGCGCAGTTGAACCTTCATATAAGCAGCGTTTCCCACGCTCACAACGTCTCAGATGTATTGTTGTCAAATGCTCTGCAATATCCTGCAGACAGATACTAAATTTGAATAAATACTTGAAATTATGTCTGTAAATGTAAATGCTTAAAAATCAGAGAATCTGATGCCCGGGAAAAAGAACAACTCCAAAGCATTAATATGATTTTAAGTTCTTACTCACAAGAGTGGGCCTCAGACCTCATAGGCAAGGTTAGCACAGAAAAAAAATAAGATCAAGGGTCCCATGGTACTAATGACTTTTCCCAAATTATAGCATTTAAAAATAATTCAGCCTTGTGAAATTCTGAAGTTTTCAATAAGTCCATCTTAGATTAAATTTTGAAGTAACATCCTTTCTCTGAAAGGTTTGATGTAATAACTTCTATCAGGTTGAAGCTAGCCGGTTGAAAATCAGCTATAAACTCATCTTAACATTTTCTACACCTGAACTTTAAACTGCATTTGTAAGCCACAATAATACATAATATGTCTGATACCAGAGAACCTAAAAGTATGCATTGACAAGCTAAGATCGTGAGTTTAATGTGATTATGTGACTAAAAACTAACCCCGATAACTTCTTCAGGCAACGGGCGCTGGTCCTTTGAGCGATCACAGAAATTCTTGTACTCCTCCGCATCTCTAATTGCATATGAGCTTAGCTGCTCATTAATAAGAAGTTCAAAATATTAGAATGCTACTGAATCCCAAGATACATCTCACATTCTAGTCCCATGCTAGTGTGTATGAAGTAAAAGAGCGCTAGTAATGATTTACTTAATGAATAAATCTAAGATAGACATCGTAAATGTACGCTCTCCAAAAAGGGTTGGGAGGGGTGGAATTTTAGTCTTTTAATGAAAGAAGAGAAGTTCAAATTACACATAATACATTACAATATCATTAACAACATGCTCTTCAAATTAAACTGCAAACGAGATTAAAAAGCTCACCTCAACATCACATTTCAACTCTTTGGAGCAAGGCTTCACCATATAAAATCTCTGCAAACAGGTAGCACTAAGAATCACTAAAGAGAAAAAAAATACCAGGCAAGTTAGGTAAGAATTGAAGGCAACAACATACCTGACGAAAGGGCTTCTGAGGAGTCCTCCAGAAAGCCTAACAAAACACACATATTTAAGCTTACATTTGCCACAAATAATAAAGTCTACAGCAAAGAAAAAAGTTACTGGCTTTGTGTAGAACTATGCTTACTTGTTCAAAATACAAGACCTTAGAACCATCCACCATTTCAGCTGCTGGGCAAGTAACCATCCTGCAACAGAAGCCAAAATATTATGCAATAATCAACTACAAACAACTCAAACCAAAACCCAATTGAACTGAATTGAATTGAACAAGAAATGAAGGACCAAATTGGCCCAATTGGGTAGTTGAAAAACTGGATTTTTGGACCAACCTGATGTTGAAGTAATGGTCAGGATCTCTAGCTGCTTGGTCTTTGGAGAACTTCTCGCCGGAAATAGAACGAGAAACAAGGCGGGCATGGTCCCAGCGGGTGGTGGACTTTGTAAGCCGCTTCAGCACAAGAGCTCCACCTATAAGCACCAGCGTCTTCACCACTAACCCACGAGCCACGCTCCATCCGCCTGAGGAATCGGAGCTCCCGTCACCCGGCTCCGACCCGATAACCATTCCTTTGATTTTATTGCAATCTCACTGCCTCTCTGTGTTTACTACGACTGCAACTCGTACCATTTCAATTGCGCTGCCTATAGAGACTCGGCCACGGCCCACAGCTCCAGAATTTTGCGTATAAAACCTACTTCTTTTTTCTCTCTGTATCGAAAATTGAAATGATCAATTATGGAGACGGGAAATTGATCAAATGGGTTGCGTTGGATTTGTTTGGTTCATCGAGACCATTTATCTAGATTTCACAGAGAAGTGTCGAGCTATTCTCGGCCGTCGGCTTGTATCATATTGGCGCTGTAGTACATCACTCAACAAAAGAAAAAGAAAAAGAAAGAAAGAAGATAAATTGGGTTGCGTTGTGTTGTGATAAAGAGCCCATATTTGCTTGGGCTATGGGCCAATACATATACATTTTCAAGATTTTTCAAAAGCCCGCCCGCGAATATTTCTCGGATCACCGTGATCTAAACTCTGTTATATGAACAACGAGTTTTACCGATAGTCTGACATATTATGTTAGCAGATTAAGTGAGTTTTTTCAACCTGTGAGAATAGATCGAAAATTTGATGGCATACCCTATGCAACATAGCATTACATCATGATGTTTCTTTTGCACTATTGGCACCAATGGTTAGAATTTTTGCATTGCAAGTAGCACAGACGAGAAGTTTGGTTCACATGCGAAACATATCATATTGCAAGTGTTCGCTAGAATGCCAACTGAAATTATAAACGAGAATCATTTTGCTACATCCCAAAAGCTATTTCAAACATGTCACGAGAAAACCAGGTTTCTCCAGAGAAATGGCCATTGGCTAATTCTAATGGCATTCAGGTTGCACGAGAACCAGCTCTCATCAAACTCCCATGAGAATGATGACTTGCCATAGATTCAAGCACAGAGCTCCTGTTCCTTTCTGCCTCAGCCTCCTCCCCAAAACAGTAAACAGGAGCCTCCCACTTGGCATCCCCAAGCACGGCTCCCACCTCAAATGTCATCACATGAGCATTAAACCCTGCATATTCCATAAACCATTATCATAAAAGAAAATGAAAAACACCCTACTAGAGAACACAATCTTAATAGAGAATCTAACGGCTACAAATACGTTACCATCAAATCAAAATGCAGCCTTCAACAGGGGTTATAAAATTATGCCAACAAGCAACAACAAAAATCTGAAATTGGTAAAGGGTGATGTTCTATGATCATATACCTGTGTAGAAGACCCAGTGGACCGGTCTCTTAGTGAGGACATCTTCATAGTACCAGATGAAGTCAACCTTCTCCCACACATTACACAGGAAACCATCCACGTGGCGCTGACCCAGATAAGTAGCACCATCAAGCCAATTGGGCCGGAGAATGCCAACAGGGAAATGCAGGGTCTTACATTCTCTGTTGGCGTCCAAGGTGTAGATGAAGGAGGTACCATTGTCCCACTCCAGGTCGTAGGTTAGCTTCCCCAGCTGGCTCTGGATTATGTTGAAGTTTCGGCCGTTGGGCCAGTCGTACCAGAGGTCCACAATTTGCAGAGCTCCCTTGCTGTTGTTCATGAAAAGCAGAGTGGAATTGGTGGGGCCATGCTGCTGGAGCTGGGTCATCAGAGGCTGATTCTACCAATGTCTTCGACATCAATGGGAAATTGAGGCGCATCACAAGGAGGAGGAGGAAGAAGAGGAAAGACGGGGACTTGGGTAGAGTTGCAGAGGCCATTGTTGATGATGCTTCTCTTGGGTTCATCTGTTATTGCTACAAAGAAACGAGAGCCGTGAGGTTGTGGATTTTAATCCATTCAGAAAGTTATCCCCACTGAATATGATACTTTCTCATATGTAGCCAGCTAGAATGCAAAATTTCCACTTCCACCCACAAATTCTATCGGGTATTTATAGTTATACCACAAACCATTGATTGGTTACATTTTACATTTTAGACTTCAATCCATGAACCATGCCTATGGAGGAGAAGAACACACCATATGTAAACAACACCATTTGAAAATTACCAAACTTTATTTTCTTTCATTATAAAAACTGAAAAGTACACAGATCCATGACTGAGAATCTCAGATTAAGTGTATGAATTATATAGTATTTTACAATCTAAAATGAGAAACATGGGACATTTCATGAGACGAGATAGAAGACATCTACTCATACCTTTTTGTTTTATTGTATTGCCATTGTTATTTAAATTGAGACTAGGAATTGCAACTTTTCAAACATTTTATGGTTGCTAACTCATTACAAATGAACGTGCAATTTGGAATTTAGCTTGAAAAGGTGATGGCGGTACTACTGGTTCCCGGTTATAGGGCCGCCCTGGCCCTTCTTTATATCATCCCATCCTCTAACCCATGGCTGTCCAGGCGTTGCCCGTGTCTCAGGAGCAGCGTAGCTGTTCAGGTTGTTCAAGACCTTGTTGCGTACTGCAGTAAAAACCTACAAAAACAGATCATTTGAATGAAAACTGAATCCATGAAGAATATCGCACGAACTGGAATTTTAAATTTTATATTATATCACACGAATAATATAGCAATAAATGGAATCTAAACTTTTAGATCATATCTCACAGGATTAGTCTTGAGTGCCTCAGGGGGTTGCTCCTGGCCAATTAACCACTTCCACAGATCTGGGTTTTCCTGCAGAAGGGAAACATGATATCAGAAAAGAACATGAAAAGTTGAGCAAACGCCTCTCTCTCTCCCCATTCAACTAAGGCAACACCTTGCATAGTATCAATACTAGAAACACCTTGCATCTTACCTCCAACTTGGCTTACATCAAGCACATGTATGGGGAATATATCATGCCCTCAGTGCTAGATAAGATTCCGAAGGTTATTAGGAAGCATACTATTTACTTAACATACTATAAATTTTGTTATTTCAACTAGGATGAATTTGTTTTGTTTGAGAAGCTGTTGGATGATGAAAATCCAATGATTTAAAACATTGTATGTTTCTTACTAAACTATTTGATTTCAAGTGCTTGAAAACTCCTGATGGTACACATACAATTCAACCCAAATAAACCAAGTCATTTTTCTAATTCTCTTATTCACAAGTGTAATAAACAGACTGAGAAACAGTGACAAGAAAGTATAATTCAATAACTGAAGAAGCTAGAACCACGCCTACTCTCAAAAGCACTGGATCCCTTAAGCTGTTGTGAGTTAAATGCTCAGATTAATAAAAATATAAGTCCTAAATTAAAAACGAAGGACCTTAAATGCTGTGCTGACATATGCTGGGAATCACCATGAACAAGCACATCTGAGCTTATCTTCTATATGGAACATAAACTCACACCAGGCATTACTAGAATCCAGTAGATGTTAGGACAAGTAAATATTAGCAGTTAAGCTTGTTTAAAATATATTAACAAACTTGCTATTTAAATTCCAAAGAACAAATGTTGAATGCGGCACATGATTCTCTGTATTTGTTACAGAATAACTAAAAATCATTTGAAAGGAAAGCACACCAACAAAAAAGCAGCAAACTTTGCAAGGTAGGTATGAGATGATCAAAGCAATGGAAAGAAATTTACCAGGTCAAGGACGTCCACAAGAGATTTAATTCCATTTTCATCCATGGAATGGATATGCTCCTCCACCCATTTGCCCAGAACCAAATCCAGCTCCAAGAACCCTCTCTGCTTGCTCCTATATATTAGTCTGTTTCGCAACCAAAACCATGTTTGTTTCAGAAAAAAAAGAAAAAAAGAAGAAGAAGGCAGAACACCGAAAGGAAGAAGATGAAGAAAGAGTTAGAGACCTATTAAACAAGCGCCTCTTGCTCTCCTGGTTCGAGAGGTCGATATCGAGATTGCTGGTGGTGCTGATGGAATAAGAACGCTGAACCAAACCATACCCATATTGAGGCCTGGAAACGAAATCAAGTTACCCATCAACAAAATCAAAGCCAATTCACAATAAAGCCAACGGCTTTACGAATTATTATTAACAACGACGGCTGAAATCAATCAAACAGAGAAATACCTGAGAAGGGTTTCAGTGGGCGAGATTGAATTGCAGGATTTGAGGGCTCGGTGCAGGCTGATCAAGCTTCTTCTCAAGCTCCCCATATTTTCTTTTCTTGTTTTTAGAATGCTGTTGTGTTCCGTGTTGTGTGTTCAATCACGGAACGCAAAGACAAGAGAGAGAATAGAAATTATAGTGGTGGGCTTAATGACACCAACAATGGAAGGCCCGTGCCCTCCAATGGCGTCGTGGCCTTTCTGTTATTTTTTGGTTACAAGCGTCGTGGCCTTTCTTCGTCCATATGGTTGTGGCATCAAAAATCAATTCATGTGCAGTGTGACGAAAACATTTCATGTTTTTCCTTTCTCTAACCAAAAAGAAAACTTTCGTTGATCTTGTATTTTATTACTGATTGTCGTAATTAATTTTGAGGTTTTCTATTTAAACCTCACACTTCTCTTAGTTCACCCCATGTTCTAAGTTCACCTCAATTTTTAATTTAAATTTTCACAATTTCTAAGTAAACCCCACTATCTTCCCAAACTACCCTTAAATACACCCCAAACTGAAAAAATAAGAAATAAAAGAGATTTTCTATTTAAACCCCTTCAAGTTTCAAACTGATATAAATTGTTGTTGCTTCCTATTCTTCCTTGAGTTTTGCAGTGCATTGGTTCCAACCTCTGAAGTGGTTGTCAATGAACAAGTGGAAAAGGAAGAGGAAAATGGGGTCGAAGAGTGGTCGTCAATCAACAGTCATCAAGAAGATTGAAAATTCAAGAGTTGGTGCTAGTTCTTCCAAGACATCAAAAGACAGCATGACTCCTCTAAGAACTCCAACTACGGTGTGCCTCCCAATTTCTTTGAATTTTTTCTAAAAGCATCCCCAAAGATTTGCAGTTTTTCCAACAGTGCTTACTACTAAAGAGTTTATCTTCGGAACTGTAGGTATCTAAGAATGAGGTGCACAAGCGTTGTACAAAAATTCAAGTTACCCCATACTTTCTAGAGAAAGAGAACAGTTTTACCAAAACATCAGATATAAATTTTAAATCAAAAATAAAAACAATCAAGCAATCAATAGCCAAGAGTACCCAAAAAAAAAGCAATCAACGAAGGGAAGAGAATAAGATCATTATAGCGAAACAATCAACAAGTCTTTTCATCAGTTTCCGCGCAGATTTCAAAGAGGTAGGCTCATCAATGTTCTACGCCTTTAAAAGAGAAAATTAATTTGGCATAGGATGTAGAAGAGTTTGTATTTTTTTTAAACTTAATTTGAAGAGTTGTGGGGTGTGTGTATAGATATATTAGGGTTAAGTATTAAGTTGGATGACTTTTTTTGTCTTTTTACACAATAATAAAATTTACAGCTTAATGATTTAAGTATTTGGGTGAACTAAGAGAAGTGTGGGGTTTAAATAGAAAAAATCTTAATTTTTGGGAACATTATAAATATAGATTTTCTATTTAAACCCCACACTTCTCTTAGTTCACCCCATGTTCTAAGTTCACCCCAACTTTTAATTTAAAATTTCACAATTTCTAAGAAAACCTCATTATCTTCCCAAACTGCCCTTAAATACACCCCAATCTGAAAAAATAAGGAAGAAAAGAAATTTTCTATGTAAACCCCACAAACTACCCTTAGAGGAGGAATGTATACAGCTTTGGGGAGATCATGCTGGAAATTTTAAGCAATGGCAGGTTGATGAATTCAAGAGCAAGCATACAGAGTAAGTCAAGGGAAGTTGTTATGAGAGAAATTTACAATGAGAATGAAGTTGGTACGAACGTTCCGATGCGAGAGGAGATAAAACTGGTACTTGAGGTGCTACACTTTGCACTAGGAGTAGGCCATCTAATCAGCCATCAATGGAGAATACATTGAAGCTTTTATCAGAGTGGAAAAGAAACAAGAAAAATTACCCAACTATTGAAGTTGCAGCAATAGGATTATGATTTTAGATGCATACTGGAATGCCAGAAGTGATAATAATATTACTGTTCCTAGCAGAAAAAAAAAACACAAACAAACCCAAATCCGAAATTTAATATTTTCTAGAGAAAGAGAAAAGCTTTACCAAAACATTAGGTATTTTAAAAAAACAAAAAACAAAAAAACAAAAGCAATCAACAAAGGGAAGAAAATAAGATCATTACAGCCAAACAATTAACAAGTCTTTCCATTAGCTCCCACGTAGATTTTAAAGAGACATGCTCTTCAATGTTCTACGTCTCTGGCAATACGATGTAGAAGAGTTTGTATTTTTCTAAAACTTAATATGAAGAGTGGTGGGGTGTATGTATAGATGTACTAGGGTTAAGTATTAAGTTGGATGACATTTTTTGTCTTTTTACACAATAATAAAACTTACAGCTTAATGATTTAAGTATTGGGGTGAAGAAAGAGAAGTGTGGAGTTTAAATAGAAAATCTCTATAAATATTGCAATTCAAGGAGTAAACAAAGTAAACTTCAAGTAAGATTCATCTGATCTGAGTTTGTTGAATTTCTTGTATTTTGGCTCCACCAAGACATAATTCTAGTGTGAACAGATTTTGCTAAGTTTCTTTGGTGGCTAGGCATACAATCTTTTTATTTGTTGCATACGTATAATAAAGATCTCAAACACCAAGAAAATTCAAATGTTCTTGGAAGCAAGGGCTGGTAGAGCAGAATTGGACCAAAATAATAGATAAGAAGTTTTATTTCCTAACACAACACCAATTTTGTTTATAGATGCACCAAGGAAAATCACTTGCATTGACAGGTAAGCCTAAATGAAAGAAACAGAGGCATAACAATCACTAGAGTGAAGACTTCCCCAACTTAATCTAGTCTTAGTCCCAATTAATAAACAAGATTGGGAACAAAACGGTGCTTAAAAGATTCGAGCTTCTGATGATACAGAAGAACGTGGCACACCCTTTTCGACATCACTTACATTGGATCGTCCATCCTATCCATCTACATCCTACAGTGAGTTGATGGCTCTGTTCTTCAACAGAATTCATGAGGTATTCCCTCATGGCGTATTGCAGTGCTGAAGATATATTTTGCATTACAACTCACTTTCATTTTGGCTATAGCGGAAAGGAAGTCCATAATGAAGCAATTGAAGTATTTCACATAATCTGTTAGTCTTTAGCCAGACTACCTTAGAAACTTATCTCCCGTCTCTCAGCGAAAAATTTTCCTGTTACTGCTTGGTCTGGAAGCAAGGCAAGCCATACTGCAGTGTCAGCTCCGTCTTCAGCTGAAATATTCCCAGCATAACCTGTCATAGCAGTCTTGACCCAACCTGGGCAGTAACAGTTGATATAAATTTTCTCACCCTCTGGTCTCTCTGAAAATATCCTCGCCATTAGCCTGGTATAAGTGTTGACTGCAAGCTTTGATATTGAGTAGTCAGTGAACGTTTTAGGCCACCCTCCTGATTCCCAAGTGCCCTCTTGTACTTGTTGTAGAAAAGTCGAAACTGTTTGATCAATCATTTCTTCTGTGAGCGTGTCAATATTGCTAAGTTTCTCTCTCAAATTCGCATCTTCAAGTTTCTGCCAATTAAATAAGAGTTTGACATGGTCAGGGAAACATGAATAAATTTTGTTAAGCTTCTGGTACATTCTCAATACATAGCATTTGAATGATATCATTCAGTAGGGGTTTAAATCATACTCAAAGCACTCATTTACAAATGGTTGTGACCTTATCTGTCACTAATCCACCTCGTATCATATGCACCCATGGTTTACCAACAGTCTTCATGCCATTGGGACAAACACAAAGGCAGGTTCTCAAACTTTTCGTCAAAAGGGGATCTTAACACTGCTAGCGGGTAGACAAGCACCAAATCCTCTTCCTAACTTCTATGATCCAAACGGCACATTTTGAAAATCCATCCAAGTTTAAGCCTTTCAGGCAATACAATGGATCATGTCTTTCCTCTCATGCATGCAACCAAAGATTTCATTGACCAAGGAAAAGTAGTGAGCTAGTCATCTCCAAGCACATAAACACTTTCCAAGCCCCCCTCCCGCCACATTCGTGGGCATACATAAAAGGATGAATTTTTATGACCATAAAAGAAAGCAAAAAAACAAATTCACTTACATTTCGTTTGCCATTTATTCTACCCAATCTGGAGCTCACATTAACAATTCGACCTCCATGAGATGAATGTTTCATCAAAGGGATCATGGCTTGGATCATATTTTTGATGCCATAATAATTTGTAGTAATAACCTGAGAGGCATACTCGACAGAATTATCAGACCCTTGATTGAAATTAACAGCTGCATTATTTATCTGCAAACACAAAAGAGTAGCAAAAGAACTGGGTAAAATTAGAACCCACATACCAAACAACAAAGTACTGCTGGGCAGTGAAACTGTTCATATTATGACAGGAAATTATATGAGCAACTCACCAGAATATCCAAGCCACCATAATTTTGTTTCAACCAGTCACAAAACTCATTGATGGACAAAGCGTCTAACACATCGAGCTGATGGCAAAACACATTCAGACCACCCTCTTGGAAGACCTTAGCTGCTTCAAGCCCCACACTGTGGTCTCTGGATGTGAGAATAACTGTCACCCCATGTGCCGCAAGCTGCCTTGAAATCTCAAACCCAATCCCCCTATTGCCCCCAGTAACCACCGCAACGGTCTCTGCTGACCACCACCTACACACACATGCATGCATTCCCAAATGCACAAATCACAGCTGGAGTTTCTGTTATGTTGCATTTAATTCTTGAAAGAAATTGCATAACTAACACAGATCATAACAGCTAGAGTCTATGACAAGCCAATTTATTCACAACTGGGCTCTTTGTTTTGTTGTGTTTTTGATTCATGAACATGAAGAAATTGCAAACTCACAAAATAAACTGCAAACTTCATGAAATAAACTGCTTAACTAACAAAGATGATACCAGCTAGAGTCTATGACAAGACAATGTGTTCCCATATACACAAATCACAACTGGGTTTTTTGTTTTGTTGTGTTTTTAATTCATGAACATGAAGAAATTTCAGAACTAATAAAGATCATTACAGCTAGAGTCTATGACAAGACCATGTATTCCCAATTCAAATGCACAAATCACAACTGGGCTTTTTGTTTTGCTGTGTTTTTAATTCGTGTGCATGAAGAAATTTCAAAACTCACAAAGATCATAACAGCTAGAGTCTATGACAAGATCATGTGTACCATCATCTTCTACTCTATCAGAAATGGAAATGAGAGCAAAGCGAATAAGAAGTAAAAAGTAAAAGCAAGCCAACCTCTGGTGATCAGAATAAGGAATGGTTCTGAGAAGTGATATTTCTTGGAGTCTCTTCTCTCTTCTCTCTTTGGCCCTTTCAGCTTTGTCAGATTTTCCCATATCTCCTCTGTTTGTTTAGAAATTCAGAGTTGGAGTGTAATGAGCGACGGAGCAGAGAATGCAAAGGTTTCATCAACATTTTATCACATCCGCCGTGGCCCTAGGGACAAGAGGGCCCCACAACATGCCACGTGTTGGCTTTCGCGCCTGTCGTGAACTCTCTCGCTGGTCAAATGCCGATGTTCTTTCGTCAAAGGACACCCGAAATTTCGGATTCCGTCTCGCCCCATTCCCTCATATAGCAGGCCCAACTTACGGCCCTGAGAAAGCCCATTTTTAAACCCATTAGTGATAATTTTTTTAAATTACAGGCCTTGCCCATTTAAGCCACCAACTGAATCAGATATTAAATTCAGTTCTGGATTGTTTATCCCCTAACATCAAATTTGTCACTCTACTTTACAGATTTGAGAGGGGAGCGGCTACAACGAGAAGTCTAAAGTGAGGATGTTATTTGAGGAGGTCAATCTCACCCTCAACAAATGTAAAGAAGTCATGAGACTTAAACATTTTAAACGTTTTGATGGTGAGATTGTCATCTTCACTTTAAACTCCTCATTATAATCTCCTCGAATTTGAGAACGATATCAATTTTAAGGTATTTTTATTTTTTGTCATTTTGGGCTTGTTTAGTTGTTCTTTGTTATGAGTGAAAACCTTCCTTATATACCACCGTCCGTGACATTGTCTCATTCTTTCTATATCTCTTTATGTCACTTTCTTTTGTTGGGTTGGTTCTTTGAAATAACCCAAACCATTCATTTACTAGGGGCCAAATTTATGTAATATGAAAAAAGATGCGTTTGGTCTTGTTAATAAGTATGGACGGGCATGCCAATCAAAGTTTGCTTTCTTAAAATAAAATAAAATAACAAACATCACTTAAATTGTCTTTTCTGCCATGTTGATGAAAACTATAACAACAATGCTACATTTTAATTTTTCGCAGTCAATTCTTATGCGTCATGGCTGAGGCCACACATTTTGGTGTGAAAGTGAAAAATGGTAAAGGTCCCAAGTTCTTCAATCGACCACCGACTACACGACTCGCCGTATATTTCACAAATCGTCATGTCTTTCGTAGGCTGTTGTCCTTGACCCAGCAAAAGGACACGCATTAATTCAACACGCACATATTTCCAGTCGCTCTCTTTAGAGTTTATTATTTTTTCTCCTTTTCTTGCTGAATAATCTGTCTACAGTTTGAACGGGTGCACACTCGCCCATCACACACAAATATTGCATATAAAATTAATGATTTATATCCAACATACTTTGAAAGTCTCCAACTTTATCATCAACCGCAGACCAGACTCTTGCTGTGGCTCTCAGACACTACTTCCTGCTTCCATTTTGGTACGCTCTCTTCAGTCTTTCCTCTGTATGACTCTGATTTTGATAATTTGATTGGACTATTTGTTGATTTCTGCATAACCCATTTGCCAAGTTCACCTGTCAATCCATAACTGATTCAAGAAATGCTAAAATTCCATAACCCATATCCATAATTCTAATAAAATTATAAAACAGCACGAAAGAAACCAATACTGTACCTCACAAGTTCATGTTTGATGTTTCTTTATGATACAGAGTGCAAAACTTGAGCTTGTGTTAGAGTATCTTTGTTGTTTGACTAGAGGTTATCTTGATATTGCAGCGAAAGAAAAAAAATGGAACGTTGTTTTCAAGGTTGGGTGGTTTTGTTAGCTATGTTAGTATTGGCAATAAGTATGCCATGTTCACATGCTATTCGGGTAACCAAAACTAAGACCAGGTCTGGCGTTTATTTTTCTCCTAAGTTTGTGTTGGCGCCAGGATCAGTTGCAGACAAATATTACTATGATATCCCCTTTCCAAAAGGTCATATTGGCCTCAAGAGTTTCAATGCTGAAGTAATTGATGAAGAGGGGAATCCCATCCCCCTTCATGAAACTTATCTCCATCATTGGGTTGTTGCTAGATATTATGCCCGGACAGGTTTTGTTGAGCCAGAGGAGACTGGTTTTCAGGACCTTAAAAAGTCAGATTTTACTTTCGTGAGAAACACTGGAATGTGCCAGAATAATGTTCTTGGACAGTATTTTGGACTTGGGTCGGAAACACGAAACACATCCACTCATGTTCCAGATCCCTATGGAATAGAAGTTGGGAATCCTGCAGAGGTTCCTGCTGGGTATGAGGAGAGATGGATGCTCAATGTGCACGCCATTGATACACGGGGTGCGGAAAATGGTTTGGGGTGCACTGAATGCAGGTGTGATCTATATAATGTCTCAACGGATTCACGTGGTCAGCCTTTGAAGCCAGGTTACAAAGGAGGTTTATATTGTTGTTATGATGGTGTACAGTGCAGAGTAAAACAGGGCTTTAATGGTGCCAAGAGAAGCCTATACTTGAGATATACTGTGAAGTGGGTTGATTGGTCTGATGCAGTTGTGCCTGTCAAGATTTATATCTTTGATGTCACTGACAGGATGAATCATTCAGCAGGACCTTCTATTGTACATGATTGCAGGGTACGTTTTGCAGTTAACCCCCTCCTATGATATGTTGTAATATTATTCTCTCTAATGATGATAATGTATCAATATTCTTGTGCTTGCAGTTTTTATGAATTTAGTTCCTTTTGTGATTGAGTCTATATCTTTCTTCGGTGCAGGTCGAATATAATGTTGAAGAGTCTTGCAGTGCCGCTAGTACAGCTAGTGACAGGTGCTTAGACAACCAACGGGCAATGGTTACTATGCCAGCTGGTGGTTATGTCGTCTATGGTGTAGCCCATCAGCACACAGGGGGGCTTGGTTCAACTCTATATGGAGAGGTGTTTTTTTTCTTCCACTCAAAATAATTTGGTTTCTGCTAGGCCTTGCAATATTGTCTTGCAGCATTGGTAGAACTCGAAATTCTTAGATAACCGTCTCTACTTACTGGCATATGGCCTTACCATATTCCTGTATGTACTGAGGCTTGCATGCATTACCAAGTAAAGTTTTTGCAACCGGACTGCAACAATTCACATCTTCCCTCCTGGACATTTGCTAGTTTTCTATAAGCACTGCATCGTGATCTCTTCCTGTAATTTATTTCTAGTCAAGATTTTTCATTGTATGCCAGGCTAAATTGGACTGTTCCTTGTCTCTCTTTCATGTTTGCCTTCATGCATGTGTGAAAAGCATGTCTGATATTTCCATACGGCTATATAATATTGTACTACAAGGCTTTTGAACTTTTGGTAATCTGTTGTGTTAAATCAATCTGCTTTTTTGTGGTGAATTTTTTTTTAGGATGGGAGGATTCTATGTTCCTCAATACCAATTTATGGAAAAGGAAAGGAAGCTGGAAATGAGGCCGGTTATATTGTAGGAATGTCCGCTTGTTATCCTCAACCAGGCTCTGTCAAAATAAATGACGGGGAGACTCTGATTGTGTTATCTAACTATAGCAGCACACAGACTCACACAGGAGTTATGGGTCTCTTCTACATTTTGGTTGCAGACACCCTGCCAAAGTCCTCCTTGCTTAGCTTGGACGCTCCACTCTGAGTAATCTACACTTAAAAGTAAGGTTAGCCGATCCAAATAAGCGTTTAAGATTGCTTATCACCGAAACGCCAAATTCGTTAGTCTACTTACATGGTTTTGTTCTTGCAGAATTTGCAGTGGTATTAGCTGAAGCTGCTGGTGTCCGCCATCAAGAGCAATGAGGAAGTATCTGGCGATGGCTATAGGAGGTTGATTTTGGTGTCAACTTTTATGTACCAAAAAATGTATGCGTCTTGAATCTACTTCTCACTCAGCACTGTGATATGTAGACATACGTAACCTATGTACCCTTTTGGTATAGCAATAATTTTACCTTCGTGTTCGTGTGTTTGGTCAAATGTAATGAATTAAGGCTCAGATTCAGTCTGTTCAATATAGAGCCTCCCCCTCAACCTCTCATTTTTGTGTGTGCGCGTGTAACGTGTTTGTGGTGATGAAAGGAGTAGTTGGGTTTGGGAGCATGACATCAAAGGGGTTTTTTGGGTGGATTTTATCTAAACCAAGAGCCCCTATTTTGGTAAGAACAAACAATATACTTTGAATACGTACGTTAGTATTTTCATACTGTTACAAATTACTCCATTGAATACATGCGTTAGTATTTTCATAATCCCACATGGAAATACCTCAAAATGTCACACAATTATATTCCAAAATTTGGAACTAAGAAATATTATAAATTCCAAAATTTCCCCAACCCTTTCCTTTCACATTGAAATCCATTTGAGTCTCAAAGTGTGTATTTTTTACAATACGATTTTCTAAACTACTCTATAAAAAATGGAATTAAACTCAGTGCAGGAGACGGACACACTGCGTGCATCTTTCAGACTCACAGTATATGTCTAACCAAAAAAAACAGACTCACATAATATCTTTTAAAAAATATATATAAAAAAATTGGGATTCTTATGCCAGAGGTGTTGATTTGAAAAATTATAAAAAAGAGAGACAGAAAGTGAGAAATCTCAACATCCTTTGGGAAAAAGAAAACTGAAAATCCTAAAAAATAAAGAAAATAAAACGTGGAGGAGTGAAAGGTGATCAGACACGAGGAAGAATATCCACGTCCATTCCATTCCAGAGCGATCCTTCCCCGTCTCTCATATATCTTTGGCTCTTCCCCACTTCACCTCCTCCTCCAATTTCCACTGCAGATAATATATTAAGGGCACTGGGCAGTTATAATCTGTGTTACCGGTACGCTCTTAATTGCCATTAAATCCAATCCAACCCAATCACCCAACATTGAAGAAGATGAGGCCCCATCTCTCCCAACCCTCATTTCATCGTCTTGCTTCTATCTTCTGTGAACGGTGAGGACTGAATTGTTGTGAATTTATGATCCATACCCAAAAACGAATCAACCCATTTGCCCAAAACCAGCATCTCCTTCCTTCCCTGTGCCTGGTGATTGATTTGGTTCCCATTGAAGGTTGAAGAAGACGAAGAATTTGAAGAAAAGGAGAATTGGGTTCTTATGTCAGGGGCAAAGCCGGCCGCTGAGCATGTCGGCTTCCCCAACGGGGACGCGAACAAGCCCAGTGCTGACGGCTGCTGCAACCCAGTGAAGAAAAGCGGACCCATTTCCATGGATCACGTTCTTCTGGCCTTGCGCGAGACCAAGGAGGAGAGAGAGATCAGACTTCGAAGCCTTTTCAATTTCTTCGATGCTACGAACCTTGGGTACTTGGACTATCCCCAGATCGAGGCCGGGTTATCGGCGCTTCAGATTCCGCCGGAGTACAAGTACGCCAAGGATCTTCTGAAGGTTTGCGATGCCAACAGAGATGGAAGGGTAGATTATCTCGAGTTCCGAAGGTACATGGATGACAAGGAGCTCGAGCTGTATCGGATTTTTCAGGCCATTGATGTTGAGCACAATGGCTGCATTCTGCCTGAAGAACTTTGGGATGCTCTTGTCAAGGCTGGTATGCCCAACCAACCATACTTTCTCCTTCTAAATTACTCATAATCTCTAACTCTGTTATGCTAGTTTCTATGTTAATAATGAGGGTATATTCATTGGCCTGGACCCGTGTAGACTGTAGAGCATTGATTTCATAGGATCTTTCTCTGTCAAATGGTTAGAGGATATTGTTGCTGCTGCTGCTTTGAGGCATTATTTATAGTATTGCTATGGCTGTGATATGACTTACACTAGGGAACATTTTTATCTTTGTGTTCTGCATTGAGCTTGATGGGAATGTATAGATGTGAGCGTAATATAAATTTGCACATCTGTCTAAGATAATGAGAAAGTGGGAGCATTTCCCTTTTCATAGCCTTCAATTGAGCAGCTTTTTCATTTTCCATCTTATAAGCCCTGGCAGTTTTTGTTTTGTAGGGATTGAAATGGATGACGAGGAACTCGCCCGTTTTGTAGAGCATGTTGATAAGGATAACAATGGAATTATAACTTTTGAAGAATGGAGAGATTTTCTTCTACTTTATCCACATGAAGCAACGATTGAGAACATATATCATCACTGGGAAAGGGTATGCCTTGTGGATATAGGAGAGCAGGCTGTTATTCCAGAAGGAATTAGTAGGCATGTTCATAGGAGCAGATACTTTATTGCAGGGGCTATAGCAGGTGCCGCTTCTCGTACTGCTACTGCTCCTCTTGATCGCTTGAAGGTGGTTTTGCAAGTTCAGACAGCACGTGCTTCTGTAGTTCCCGCTATAAAGAAGATATTGAAGGAAGATGGTATCCTAGGGTTTTTCCGAGGTAACGGAATAAATGTTGTGAAGGTAGCACCTGAAAGTGCTATCAAGTTCTATACTTATGAAATGTTAAAAAAGGTCATTGGAGATAGTATGGGGGAAGACTCGGGAGATATTGGCACTTCGGGTAGACTTTTGGCTGGTGGTATAGCAGGTGCAGTGGCACAAACTTCTATCTATCCGTTGGATCTTGTGAAAACTCGATTACAGACTTGCACTTCAGAAGCTGGAAAGAGTCCTCAGTTGAGGACATTAACTAAGGAAATATGGATTCATGAGGGACCCCGGGCCTTCTATAAAGGTCTGTTTCCGTCTCTTCTTGGGATTATCCCCTATGCTGGCATTGACCTCGCGGCCTATGAGACCTTAAAAGATATGTCAAGGACATATATTCTTCAAGATAGTGGTACAGTTCTCTGGTTTTCCATTTTTTGTTTTAAATTTTCACTCTCCTTTCTTTATCTTTTTCCTCTATGGAATATTTTTTGTACCTTTAGTTTGTAGAATTTCATTTTAAAATCTTCACTTCGATGCAGAACCTGGTCCTCTAATCCAGCTGGGCTGTGGGACAATATCTGGAGCTCTAGGAGCAACATGTGTTTATCCATTGCAGGTTATCCGAACCAGGTACAATTTCATGGCTGAAGCCTACTACTGTGGTTATTCATTCTTTTTAGTGAGGGCTGCCTATCCAAATTACTTTATTTTTTCACTTCATCTTAAGTTATTTGCTTTTGCGGTTGTGTTTAATATATTATTTCTTCCCAGATTGCAAGCTCAACGTTCTAATACAGCTACTGCTTATAAAGGAATGTCTGATGTATTCTGGAGAACCCTTCAGAATGAGGGCTATACAGGTTTCTACAAGGGATTGTTTCCAAATCTTCTCAAAGTTGTGCCAGCCGCAAGCATTACATATATGGTATATGAAGCCATGAAAAAAAAACTAGATCTGTAGTGAGTTGGTAACTACATTGATATTGTAGTTAGAAATTGTAAGGGAGTTGATGATGAAGAAAAAGAAAAAGATATTACTAGTTAAGTAGGCGATATGATTGTTATATGACAGATGGTTTCCCCCTTCAGGATATGGGGCAAAGGATTTTCAATTTTGTAGTCAGAAAGTCTTTTCCGGGATTTATTGAAACTTACTATTGAGAAACCAGGTTACAGCCCATTTTGAATTTCTTAGCAAAGGTGGTAGGTATTATCTTGTTCCTTTTTCCTCTGTATTTGTTGACTATATCATTAATGAATACAGAAAATTTATAAGTTTCTGTTCTTCCCCCTTTGTTATATTGTTGCTTTGCCATCAGGATCTTTTTGCACGATTTACAGCAAGATTTGAGTGGAACATGAGGCTATTCTCTATACTAATCCATATGTGGTGAGAATTAACTGCGTTTCATATGTGATCAGTAGATGTTGCAGCTGTAATATCTAGTCCGTACTGTACCTCTGCATGATGCAGTTACAGGATAAGCATATGACCGTACACGGTGTGCCCCAAGGCGCTGTGCTTGCTTGCGTTCATAATGCATGTAGTATCTATGTTTCATTTAGCCACCGCTTGTGATACTTGCCTTGAAAGCAGATTCTTATCATGTTTAGGTAATTGATAAGATTTGGAATTTGTGATCCCAAGTCATATATAGAAGATTTGATATTTGATGCTGAAAGATCAGCTTTGATTTTATTTAGGTTGATATTCTGTGTGCGAATTTTTTTTAAAAAGGTATCTTAGATGATTTGGAATGTGTTCATAAGTGTCTACAATTCTTTTGATTAGCTGTTTACCTGTGTTGCACAGTAAATTTGATGTCTAATGCAAAAAGAAACTCAGAAGAACAGATGAGAGATAAAGAAGAAAACAGTGCAAAACCAACAAACTGGAGTTTATTCAATTCTTTCCAAATTGGTTTTTCTGAACTGGGAGACAGCAATTGGCCTTGAAGAGCAGCCATCAATTGGCACATGAGACCCACAAAAGCCAGGAACAAATCTAACCCAATTGCACAATTGCTTCTTTAGCTACTGGAAAGAATTTGAGCCATCAAAATAATTAACAAAGAGCAGAAGTGAGGAAGCTGCACTAACATAACCTACGATTACATAAAGAGTTTGACATGTGAAATAACAAATCCGGAAGAAAGGCTTGACCTTCCCTTTGCCTCAATGACTTGCCTGTGACCCCTTCACATCCCACTAAGGGAGGAAGAGGCTGATATTGTTGACCAAACGTGTAGAAATTCTACTCAAATTCATCATCTTCATCCTCTTTTTCCTCCACATTTTGTGTCTGTGCCAGAGAGAGCTTGTTAGGTTAAAATGGCAGTGAAGTGTTTTTAGCTGTTGCTTCAAGTGTATGTATATATAGAGGTATAAACTTCCCAACCAGGTGACTTCGGCGGTGGCATCCTGAATTTTTAAATTATAATGGAGATGGAGGAAAAGGAAAAGAAGACAAAAGCAAACAGATCAGCAGGAAGAATCACATGTGGAATGTACATTTTCTAATGGCCCCCCTAAGCATTATTCTCTTATTGGGTAAGTGCTTATCTTTTGCTAAGAATATTGTCATTCTTCATCTGCTTTACATCAATCAGAACATTAGTCTTTCAACACTCAAGACTCGGGAGAGAGAGAGAGAGAGAGAGTCATTCCATGCCGAGAAATGCTGAGGAAAATGAATATTAAGACCAATGGGTAGAAGTATTTTGCTAATATCAGTCAATCACGCGTATCACGCGTAAATACGTGGTTTTTTATTATTAATTAAATGTGAATCTCACAGTGATCAACAATCAGAAATCACTCACATGCGTGCATACGACTCACCATAACATAACTTTTGAGTGGAAATATGAGATGACATGTGGAGGAATCCTTCTCAAAGGAAGAGATTTGAATGATAAACTAATGGAAAAAAGTAGTTAAAGCTGTAATAAACTAGCAGCAAAAATAGAGGAGAATTTGGAAGTAGATTTGCACCGTCCATTTTCTTGCCTCCATACTAATGCTTGTGAGAATCTATGCGTCCAAAGCCACTAATCCACTTAGTGGGAGACCCAAACGTTGGAAAAAGACTCCATGTCACTTACTAAACAATAAACCTCTTATAGATAAGCAAGACCTACCGATAAGCAATAGGGAACAACTAGACTTTGGATTTACTTTTAGCCACTAGATCCTTCATAGATTTATAATTGCTGCCCTCTACATTTGTGCTCTATGCAATAATTGAGGGCACTACGACTATGTCAAGAGATACCTTTTTTGTTTTTTTTTGGGCAGGATTGTGTAAGCCTTGCTTTGTATGTAAATAGAAAGTTCACATAACATAATAGAAATTCATACGAAAATAACACATGAGTTCATGTTGTGCACCATTTTTCAACATATGCTTTATTGAAAATCAGGGTTTTCTTCAACTTGAAGTCGGGTCATACTCGTATGTCTGTCTTATTATCGAGAATGAGATTGTTGTAAGTCTAAAAAAAAAAAAAAAAAAAAAAAAAAAAAACATAAATAAAATTAAATAAAAAAAAAAATAGTATTGATATATATCCATTTATATTATACGACTTGACCAAACTACAAAACATCAAAGAGCAATCCTATTTCTTTTTTTGTTTTTTTTGTTTTCTTTCTTCAGTTTCCTTTCCCTCTTAAATAAATTCAAAAGAAAATAATTTGAACATATTTTTAATAATTTATTTTATTTGTTTTGAGCTAGATTGGACGACGAAGCCCAAGAGTATATTGTATAGTGAGTTGTTTCCTATATTATCTTTTGTCTCTATTTAAGTCACAAGCATGGTGGACGTGCCGGAGTGGTTATCGGGCATGACTAGAAATCATGTGGGCTTTGCCCGCGCAGGTTCGAATCCTGCCGTCCACGTTTTTGTTATCCAATTAATTTAATTAATTACACTTTTATTTTTATATCTCCGGCCAATTTTACCGCCAATCTTTTCTTTCTTTTTTCTTCATCAACCACTGAGAGTTGGAGCAAATGAGAACCAGAGCAAATCAAAGTGAATGAAATCCACCAATGCGAACAAAATCACCACCATAATCACACAATGCAAAGGCCCCAAGTTAGTTCAAATTCTCCCTCCAAACCTCCTCCACCTAAATGATCAAATTAAAATCACAGGGACCTTAGTTGTTACTGCCTTTTCTTTCTCTCTCTTTTCTTGATCAAATGAAAGCCACCAATGCGAACAACATCATCGCCGTAATCAAACGCTGCAAGACCCCAAACCAACTCTTCCAACTCCATGCTCTCACCATCACCAATCCCACTCTCACCAAAACGACTTGTCGTAATATTATCACCGCCAGCATCCTCCACGCCTTCATCTCTCTGATCCCTTCTTCCTCTTCAACCACTTCACTCAGCTATGCCGTCTCTCTCTTCAACCTCATTACAAACCCATCAACCTTTTGTTTCAATAACATTATTAGAGCCCACACCCTTCTTTCTTCCCCTCTGTCTGCTCTCGGCTTCTTTGTCCGTATGCGCCGGTTTTCTCTCCCCCCGGACTTCCACACCTTCCCTTTTGCTCTCAAGGCCTGTGCCCAACTTGGGTTTTCTTCGTTTTTCATCTCTCAGGCCCTTCACTCGCAGGCCCTCAAGTTCGGTTTCGCTTCCCATTTGTTTGTTTCTAACACCCTCATTCATGTCTACTCGATTTGTCATCACCTGAACCATGCGTGTAAGGTGTTTGATGAAAGTTCTTACCGGGATGTGGTCTCCTACAACGCCATGCTCGACGCCTTTGTTAAGGCCGGTGAGGTTTCTAGAGCGCGTCAACTGTTTGACAAAATGCCTGTGCGGGACTCCGTCTCGTGGGGTACCGTTTTAGTTGGGTATGCTCAAATGAATCAGTGCGAAGAAGCGATTCAACTGTTTGATCAGATGCTTGGTTTGCGAGTTATCCCTGATGATATCTGCTTGGTTTCTGCTCTTTCTGCTTGTGCGCAGCTGGGAGATTTGGAACGAGGGAAAAACATTCACGATTACATCAAACGGAACAGGGTTCGACTCAGTTCCTACTTCTTAACAGTGTTAGTGGACTTGTATGCCAAGTGTGGGTGCATTAAGACTGCCCTGGAAATCTTCGAGGCAAGCCCAGATAAGAATGTGTTCACATGGAACGCCATGCTTGTTGGGTTTGCAATGCATGGCCACGGCAAGCTGTCACTGAATTACTTCTGCAGAATGATAGAGGCCGGAGTTAAACCAGATGGGGTGAGCGTCTTAGGGGTTTTAGTGGGGTGTAGCCATGTGGGTTTTGTACATCAAGCCCAGAAGCTTTTCGACGACATGGAAACAGTTTATGGGGTCCCTCGAGAGCTCAAGCATTATGGATGCATGGCTGATCTTCTTGGGAGAGCAGGTTTGATCAAAGAAGCAATGGAGATGATAGACAAGATGCCAATGGGTGGTGATGTTTTTGTGTGGGGTGGGTTGCTAGGAGGGTGTAGGATACATGGTGATGTTGAGATGGCAAAGAAAGCAGCAGAACATATAATGGAGTTGGACCCTGAAGATGGTGGAGTTTATTCAATCATGGCCAACGTTTATGCAAATGCAGAGAAATGGGATGATGTGGTGAAGATTAGAAAATCCATAAAAGATGCTAAGAGGGTGAAGAAGATCAGTGGTTGTAGTTTAATTAACTTGAATGGAAGCATCCACAAGTTTATTGCAGGGGATAGCTTGCATCCTCAATCAGAAGCAATATATTGGGTTTTGGATGGACTTTGGAAGCATCAATTCGAAGCATGCTAAGCAAGTTTTGATTTTTATTTTTGTTATCATACTTCTACAAATCTTACGGAGGAGAGAAGTTGAAATTGGGTATGTGGCTTTGATGTTTGCTACTTTGAAGTAATAAGTATTTTATTAAGTTTTTGTTTCTAGTATAGGATAAGAATGGTGCTGACGTGCTACTTCAGGAGGGTTCTACTGGCACTGTGCGCTGTTGGTTCTTGAACACGTGTCCCATTGGGTTCTGCACTGTGATACGTGGCTCCAGAACACTCTACTCTTTTTTCTTGATTACGAGAACTCTCTGTTCTTTTCAACATTCATCTTATAAGTAAGATCCAGCAAGCAGTTACTTCAAGTTAACAATCGCTTTCATTTTCATCAAGTTTGTGTTTAACTGGGACTTGCTACTCTTACTGTGGAAGCATCTATTGTCTGATTTCTATATTTCTCTGCGTAAGATCATGGCTTTTAGATCAAGGGTATGTGAGCTCATTTCCTCTTAAATTTCTCATGTAATTTTTTAAAAAAATTCTTCCTGTACATTTCTGGGTTTTTTATTTTACTTACCATGTGCAGAAAATTGTGCAGAACCGTTGGGAACAAATGGCGAATGGGTTAAGACAATATGCAACCTCAACCTCACCCAAGACGAAAGCCTACACCCCTAGTGCTGGTGTCACTGCACAAAACCAGCAGGGCTACAAAAGGTTCTTCAGGGGAGACTTCGTGCCTGTCTATGTAGTTCTTGGGATGATAACAGTGTCACTGGGGTTGGGGCTCCACACCGCGATGCATCAGCTGAAGCACAACCCCCATGTCCACGTGAAGAAGCAGCGACGCGAGACGCTGCCGGAGGTGGTGGAGCCGGAGCATGTGGTGGAGGAGGCCGAGAAGTTCATGACGAACTCGTTTTTCAGGAAGGTGGCTCATGTTGAGGAGTTTGACGGCTACAATCACGCCGTTAAAGATCCTACCCGTAGAGATGCTTTTGCATACAAACCGTCCAACCCGCGAGAGCGTGTCGTGACTCTCAAGGACGTTGGAGCAGATCCTGTCCAACCCAAGGCTTCATCCTAGTTTCCTTTTTCGATTTTTTAGTCTCTGTTTTTCGTTTGCTGAATTTTTTGTCTGTTTTTTTTTTTGTCTTTTTGTCTTTTTCAGTGCTATGGCTTTCTAGTAACTCCCGTCTGAGTTGTACTTTTTGGGGTTAGAGGAAGAGAGCCATTTCTACTACTACTGGTGATGGTTGTTTACTGTACTGTACTGTAACTTCACTCTGACATTGTATATATTCCAAAAGGCAGTAGACTTGAAATCTTAAATTTAAATGCTTTCTTATATGATCACCACCTTGATAGATTAGGGTTTAGGGCACACGATTAATAATAATAACTAGCTAGAAGAGTTTTGAGGAGAGTATAGGGCACGCGATTGTGATCGTCTTTCAACTTCGAATACATGTCAATCAAAGTGTACTTCACCGAGAGGTGGGTATGCACCCACCTTCCATGGTCCAATGCACCTGAGTAACCGCAAGCAGATTTAACACAAACCACCATTGTTGCGTCTCCTTCAACTTCGCATATTCGCATATTGGTGGAGGAGGAACTTCAGGTGTAAGAGTAACTTTTGATTGCTAAATTGACGAGGACGACAACAAAAGAAGTGACATTTGCATTTGCAGCCATTTGTTATAAGAAATTAAAATGCGAGAGAGAGAGAGAGAGAGAGAGAACAGATCTCAGAGGTGCAGGACAGGCGGTGCTCATTCTTCCAATATATATCTACACAGAATTTAAAAGAAAAGAGAAAGTAAGAAAGAGCCAAGTCAAAGATCAATTGGAAATCCATTAGCTAAAAAGGAAAAAAAGATCAAATTGAAAATCCGATGCTAGATTGTTGCCCGAAGGATGGGATTAATCTCCGTTTGGATTCAGCTTGCCCCTGTTCAACCACACCTGCGTCCAAATTCGAAATTAGATAGAACTCCGGATGTATCCCTTGCTGCATATCTAAGGTAGTTGTCATCACTTGCACTCTCAGAGCTCATTGTTGACTGTGCAACCATAAACAGACACTGTATAGCAAGCAAATCAAACATCGGTGAATCCCAGATACAATTCCACACAAAGGTGAATGATCACCCAACAATTATTGACTGCCGGTAGATGCTTTGAGTTCCAATACCAACAGTTCCCTATGAAGTTATTAATATGTACATTGCAAGAAGGGAAATCTTCTTTTCTTTTATGGCCTCATCTTCTTTTCTTTTTAGTTGCAAATAAACCCCAACAAATCAATAGCAGTACCTCCACTATAGTCTGAACTTTTGTAAGCATAAATGCACCTCATATAATACTTCCACTTCCTCATTTTGCTATTTTCATTCCAATTTTTTCGAACGAACGGTACGTCGATGTATGCAATTGTGAAGATCTTCAACATACGTCATCATGTATCCACAGCGTCCATAAAAAACATGGATGGCCTTTAATTCTGTCCACATAATCATCATACCTAAAACAAAACAAACAAACAAAAATGTCAAAAACAGATATTCATGCAGTTATAATACAGAACAAACTTACAACAAATGCACAAGACTGACAAAACTTTAGATGAAACTTACGACAAATGCGCTACACTAACAAAACAATAGATGAACCAATCCTTGTCTGCCCAGGAACCAATGGAATTGGGATGACTGTGTCTCTGCAATTCAAAAAACAAAGAATCCAACACTGTTTGCGAACCACGATAGTCCTTAACCTTTCAGCTGCTCAGAAGGATCAGGGATGGGAGATGCTGCTGAGGTTGGGAGAACCACGACCTGTCAAATTTGTTTTGGTTGGGAGATGTCAAATTTGTTTTGGTTTTGTATCCTGTCCCTTGATGTTTGTCCGGTGTGACAAAGTGGGTGCCTTGCTGAAAGGGTGTCTTTTTGGTCTGAGTAACATTCACCCTGCCAGAACATACACCACTTAGCCACTCTTCCAACGTGGATTCAAAATTTGGACAACAGACAACATACACATTCTCTGCTTCTAGATAAGCAACATCACCCATCCCAACCAAAACAAATTTGACGGGTTGCAGTTCTCCTCTGAAATTCAACATAACCACGCCATTACAGTATGCGTCTAGGGAAAGAAAACCTATTCAGCCAAGCACCCACAACTAGAAATCTGAAACCAGTCACAGAAAAACGACATAATTTCAGGCTGTTAGCTAAGGATTTTAACAAAAGTTGAACCAAAAAATTGGGAGAGTTACATCTGTTTTTAACATAAATCTAAGAGTCTAAACATATATAAATACAAAAAACATGAGTAGGGCATTGGTCACAGAAATAAAAGTCTAAACAAAATTAGGGAGAGTTAAGTCTATGAGTTGAGTTAAGCCCAAAATAGAGTGAAATTCACGTTTTCAGTTGGCCCAATACTCATTTTGGCTTTGACCTGGCCCAATACTAAGAACCAAAAAGTTGGTCGCAAACTCGCCAGGGACGCAACGATGCGTCAAGTTTGTGACGTGGCGATACGCCATTGGCCCATTGAACGTGGCACGTGATTTGATTGGTGGGAGCAAGTCGAAGGCAGCGTTGTAGAGATCTATATGTAGAAGAACTAGAACTCAGTATCGAGAAAGGAGTTGTCAAGGAACTCGAAAGAGCGAGAGAGAGAAACAGAGAGATAAAGATGGTTAGGGTTCGCGCTGGTGTCGTTCCGGTGCTGTTTCTGCTCGTAGCTTGCCTTTCATTTCAGCAGTTATGTGCTTCCGACGATACGGTAATGAATTTGAGTCTTCTCCTTTGCAGTTGTTAGATTTCTAAGCTTTTACTCTCAGATTCAATCCCAATTGCTAATGAATTTTGATTGATTTGGCGTTTTAGGTCTTTTACGACTCATTTGATGAAACATTTGAAGGTCGCTGGACCGTTTCTACCAAAGATGACTACCAAGGTTCGTCCTTTCTTCCATTTTTATGCAAAAAGCTGATATCTTTATGTTAATGAATGCGTATTTGTTTGTAGATATTGGATCGTTCTGCGATCGATCTGAATTGTATTAAAAAGCTTGCCATGTATGTATGCCAAACTTAGATCATTGTGCTAAGCTATCAGCTATAGATGGACTTAGACAACCATACAAATAGTTAGATGGGAAAACTTGTAAATTTTTGCCTTTTACATTCATGAATATTTACATGATAGGATTTTCAAGGTGTATAATGAAGATTTATCAGTAATGAGTCCTTCTGTTATGATGGGTTTGTTTATTGTGTGCTTGGATTTTGTTCTTGGGCGATCACATGGTTTCTGTGAATCATAGTGATCCCATAACAGAAATGAAGTTTTTTTTTAATGTTCCCTGCTTAACCAATCTGAAAATTGTAGCTCATCCATCATGATTTTGGCATATTTCTTTCCATTTGTTTGTTGGAAACTTATTTTATTTTCTAATTTGTATCTAGGTGTGTGGACTCATTCAAAGAGTGAGGGACATGAGGATTATGGCCTTCTTGTGAGTGAGAAGGCTAAGAAGTACGCAATAGTGAAGGAGCTTGAGAAGCCTGTGAGTCTGAAGGATGGAACTGTCGTCCTCCAATTTGAGACTCGTCTCCAAAACGGGCTTGAATGTGGCGGTGCCTATCTGAAATACCTTCGACCTCAGGAGGCTGGATGGGAACCTAAGATATTCGACAATGAGTCTCCTTATTCGATCATGTTTGGACCTGACAAATGTGGACTCACAAACAAGGTTCACTTTATTTTGAAGCATAAGAATCCCAAGAGCGGAGAGTACGTTGAGCACCATCTGACGACCCCTCCCTCTGTTCCATCTGACAAACTTTCTCATGTGTACACTGCCATTCTGAAACCCGATAACGAGTTGCAAATTCTAGTTGATGGGGAGGAGAAAAGGAAGGCGAATTTCCTATCAGCTGATGATTTTATGCCTCCTCTTATTCCTACCAAGACAATTCCTGATCCAGAAGATAAGAAGCCTGAGGATTGGGATGAGAGAGCCAAAATTCCAGACCCTAATGCTGTAAAGCCAGAGGACTGGGACGAGGATGCACCCCTTGAAATTGTAGATGAAGAAGCAGAGAAACCTGAAGGATGGTTGGATGATGAGCCTGAGGAGATAGATGATCCTGAGGCCACAAAACCAGAAGATTGGGATGATGAGGAGGATGGTGAATTTGAAGCCCCAAAGATCGAAAACCCAAAGTGTGTGACAGCCCCTGGTTGTGGTGAATGGAAGAGGCCAATGAAGAGAAATCCAGCTTACAAGGGGAAATGGCATGCCCCACTCATCGACAACCCTAATTACAAGGGTATCTGGAAGCCTCAGGAGATTCCAAACCCCAGTTACTTTGAAGCCGACCAACCAGACTTTGAGCCTGTAGCTGCTGTTGGCATTGAGATTTGGACAATGCAAGATGGTATATTGTTCGACAACATTTTGATCACAAAAGATGAGAAAGTTGCAGAAACATACCGGGAAACCACCTGGAAACCAAAATTTGAAGTTGAGAAAGAGAAACAAAAGGATGAGGAAGATGTTCAGGGTTCAGAAGGGTTCCTCTCCAGCTTCCAGGTAAAGCTTTCTGCAATATCAGTCTATTTGGTTTTATGGCATTTATATGATGGTTACTTGGTACGGTTATTGAATGTATTTTCAATTCCTGCAGAAGAAAGTATTTGACCTCCTATACACCGTAGCTGATATTCCCTTCTTAAGTGCCTACAAGTCTAAGATAATTGTAAGTCATCAGTATTTTGTTCATTATCTGTTTTGAGGGTGATTTTTGTGGAATGCACCCTAAAATCCAAGCTTGTCTTGCAGGATCTCATTGAAAAGGCAGAGCAACAACCGAATCTCACCGTTGGCATCATTGTCTCCATTGCCGTGATCATCTTCACAGTATTTATCAAGCTACTCTTTGGTGGGAAGAAACCTGTAAGTGTTGAAGGCCCTTTAGAAGAACTAAAGAAATACTTGTTATTGCTGTTGCTAAATGTTGCTTTGTCTTTGTGTTGTGCAGGCAAGAGTTGAGAAGAAAACCACCGGAACCGCCGATGCTTCAAGCAGTGAGGAAAAGGAAGAAGAGAAGGAGAAGGAAGGTACTTCGGCTGAGGACGAGAAGGAAACAGCTGCTGCTCCCCGCCGAAGGACAGTAAGGCGTGAAAACTGAAGTGAGAAGAGGGAAAGCTACTGGTTACAATTTTCACTTCCTTTATCATCAAATTTTGAGCCTAGTTTTTTTTGTGTAGGTCATTCTTGAATGTCGGAATTTTTTTCTTTTGCCTTTTTTAGCCTTTGTGTTGAAACAGTTAATTAATGTATCAGGAGTGTAAATGACAGATCTATTAAGCTGTGATACTTCATTTCCAGATTTCTATGACAGTAGATGATATTGTTATTGTAGTTCCGTCCTGACTCTAATTGTTGTTGCTATACCAAATGTTACATCGCTAATCCCTCTTTCTTCGACTTTTGAAATTCTATTGAAAATTGTTCTCCATTAAAAATAAAAATAAAACAAAGAATAAAACTTTGATGGAATACAAAACGAAGGATACTTATATAAAAGATAAGGAGTTGAAAATTACTGAAAAACAAACCCATTTTCAGAGATTATAAAAACATTGGTTTCAAAATTTGCAAAATTAAAGATGCTCCTCAACGCGAAAAGGTCGATGTTAGTCAAAATTTAATGTTGATGGACAGAAAAAAAATTCGTATTCGTTGTTTGATTGCGAACTGACAATTCTGCTGATTGCAAAATTAATAGGAAAACTTATTTACACCATTTTTGTTTAAAATCCCACATATAATTCTTTAGGGTACGTGATTTTGGTTCACTGATTTTAAGAATTAGTATGAAATTGCATTTTTTATATTTTATAAATGAACCCTTATAGTACATTTAGTTCGCGAATTGAACTTCTTGGGAGTAAACTTTCCATGTCTAATCCCACGAGATGAGAATGGGGGGAGAAAGTTTCCCAAGGTGAGCCAAGGGTTTGAACTCCCCCTTACATGAGAAGTCCATACCCATGAGTCCATAATTGCATTCCCAAGAGTGCACTTACCGAACATGAGAATACAATTTGAAACTCATTCCCAAACTCCTAAACATTGAACTAAATGTGCCCATAAACCCTTTCAGAGCATGCTTTTCTTATGCCCGGGAATGCTTTTATTGCACATTTTTATTACCAAGTAACCCCATTGTAAATTAGGGACATCTATTTTGTCCTTCAAAAACTCTTTGTACTTATTTAATAAACAAAACAAAACAAAACAAAATTGATTCCTTGTTGCACAAACGAACATTTGAATTGGAATGTGGGTTACATTCTCAAATAAGTCATTCTGAGAATCAATCAGTCCAGGTTTCGTTAAAAAAGAAAAAAAAAGAAAAAAAAGGGAGAGAAGAAATAAAGCAGAAACAAGACCGATTCAACAATATAATATGATAACTAACTGATTTTCCTATTGGAGACTTGAGAGAGTTCAACTCATCAATAGTGAAACCTCCCGCCACAGAGCCATGGGGTCAGATTGCTTTGTGTAACATCCACCGGATGGATGCATGAGAGTCGATAGTAAAATTTTGTTTTCAGTTGGAGTCAATAGTGACGTTCTTTTAGGTCTAATGATTGTCTAATGTAGTATCGAAAATTGTTCTTTTAGATCTAGTGATTGTCTAATATAATATCGGAAATTTAATATACATTGTTAGCCTATTCTCGAACAACTTTTTGGTCAACTTTTCTTTTAAGTCTAATGATTGTCTGATATAATTTCTAAAACTTGATATACGTTGAAGGGGCATAATGGTTGTTTTTTTCCCTTATCCTCTTTTGCTTTCTTTTCTTACTAATATTGGGCAACACGTGGGTGCAACAATAACAAACATCTTGCCAAATTTGAGCATGGGTAATAAGAGGAAGCTTGTACCACTACCACCTCATACAACAGCAGGCTGTGAAATTTGGGGCTCTGATTCAAATGAAATACCAGTTGCTCTGAAGTAGTGTGAAAGCACATTGGAAAATTATTTTCGTTTTTATTATAAGAAAATTGGACAAGCTTGGCCGAGAT